TTTTTCTGAGCTATTCTCACTGCCAGCTTAGGTTTAGCTTTTTCTGGTCTGTGAAGTCAGTTACCACTAATCTACCGGCTTTGCTGCTTCCAAAATCTAGTCTTCTCTAACATTGTCTTGGTGGGTTTTCTCCATAAAATAAAATTTAAAAAATTCCCTGCCATTTTTGTGGTGTTTCAGAAGAGAACATGTTGTTGTTGTTATGTGCCATCGAGTCGGACCCGACTCATAGCGACCCCTCCTTGGGTTTCTGAGACAGTATCACTACGGAAGTAGATTGCCCCATCTTCCTTCCGAGGAGTGGCTGGTGGGTTTGAACCACCAGCCTTCTGGTTAGCAGTCAAGTGCTTTAGCCACTATGCTACCAGAGCTCCCAGAAGAGAACACAGACATAGACATATCATGTCATCTGATACTTCCCTTCTCCACTTTCTCTTAACGGGAGATTTTCCTAATTGCTATTATCCTATTTTCAGATTTCTACCCTCATCTGTGTCTAAAAATTATCATGTTTCTTAGGTTAACGAATCACAAAAAGTCTTGATCTATGGGGCACGGCCAATCATATACACACAGAAAAGGTCCATGACACAGTCCAGGACAATCAGACTCCTTACTTGGTTTGTTCCACTTGAAACCTAGGGAGGAAAGGTGCAACCTCTGGAATGGCAAAGCTGTGAGGTGTGTCTCTGAAGCCTTTGGCAGCATTTAGAAGTAGCTGTCCCACAGGAGCAGGGAATGAAGATGGCACCCTGAGAGAATGAGCCAAAAGACGGAGATGGAGCCATCCTCATGGCACTCAAGTGCTTCCCCCAGGTTCCAAGATGACATACTTTAATACGGTTTGTTATACTAGTTCCACATTCCATTTGTCGAGTTGCTTTTGTGATCCACGTGTACCTCTGCCCATCCCTGTATACATCTGACTTTGTCCTTGTGGGTTTGTGCCTTTTTAACTTAGTTTTAATAACCTAATATTAAAAGAGTTGTAGCTAATGTATCAAGTGAATGTACAAAGCAAAAAGAGTTTCATATTTAAGGTTTTTGTTACTGTTATGTTTATATCAAATTCTCACAGAATTGTAAAAGTGCAAGGATTGATAAATAATTATGAAACATTTTAAAAATCCAAAATATTAGTCTTGTTTTCCATAAGGGTCTGAATATATGGTATAACTTAAAATAGTACAAAGTACAGAGCATAAAAACACAGTTCATATTCTGGATCTTGAGGAAGAAGACAGAAGCAAGCCTAAGAGGAAATTATATGGGAGAAAGGGGTTTTACGCCTCTGTTTTAATGTTTTGTCAAGTTATTTTTGTCATTTGTTTCAAAATGTACTGTTCTAACTCTTTTCAAAGAAAGCAAGTTCCAAGAAAGCATTCCTAGGGCAAGGACAAAATTTCTTTTCAAGTATAGAAACACCAATATAGGAATACATCATAGAGGGCAAATCCCTACAGTAGTATCTTCTCAGGACATAATTTATATTATCACACAGTGGCTACCATCTTTGTCATTCATGTGTTTTCTTCTATAAAAAGTAGGGTTCCCTTACATTTGAGATTATTTTTTATTTTTACAAATATACTATTATTTTGACCATTGTGGTTATCATTTTTATACAAAGCATCTACTGAAAAGGTAGAAACTGGATCTCTTAATTTTTTCTTGCATTTTTATTACTGTGTTTACTCTCGTCTGATTCACTGACTTATACCTTATGCTGTGTTCTAAAATAGACCTCTTATTTTTGCAGACAGGTCTTATCCCCCTTGAGGATTCATCCTGCCTCAGGAGAGTGAGGTTTCTGCGACTATGATGACGTGCTGGCCCCTGGCTTTCATCAGACTCTGGAGATATAGGTCTGAAGATGTTCAGAGGAGGAAAGAAAAACTGGTGAGTCCTTGAGGAAGTAAACAGAATAATACTGTCTTGAAATTTATACTACTTGGTAACTGGGGCCATGAAGAACCTAAAAAGAAGTCTATGAGTTGTGCAATTAATATCCACATGGTACTGTCATAATCTCATATCAAATATAAATGAAATATCCTAAAATTCTAAGGATTATATTGTTATAATTCCTATATTGCCTCTACTGAAGCAACTATTCTACAGTTCAACCTTCTTTTCTGATCTACTAAGGGTTTTGGCTGCCTTTAGTCTGTTGGCTGGCTCCTAAGGAGTCTGCGAAAACCACTTCTAGGATTGCTCTCAGAAAGAGGTATTAGTTGAAATGTTGAACTGCAAAACAAAATCTCAACTCAGGCTACACTATACACATGTGATGAAACTTTTAAAAATGCCAGGTAACACTTTGTGACTGGCAACTACAGTTGGCCACTTAGATTAAGCTTGGGGCTTAACACAGCAACATCAAATCTACAAGTCAGTCTTTTCACAGTGGCGGCTGTGGTTATTCTTGCTCTGGAGTCACTTCTTCCCATCTTCTCAAGCAATAAACACTGCCCAAAAGACCACACCCTCTAAAAGGCTCTAGCAGCTACACTCAGCTTGGTCACTGAATGCAGTGCATCTGACATGTGCTCTTTGTCACCATACATTTAGGGCCCTTGGGTGCTCAGCAGTGAATGATGAAACTAATAAATGAAAAGAAGAATACAGGTGAAATGAAATCCTATTTAGTAGATGGGGGTTTCTAAAATTAACACACATGATGTGAGTTAACTTCTTCCAATCATTAACCTTGTGTTCCTGAATTTGAAATGGAAAAAATCTCGAGTTGATATTTTTTGGGTCTGGGTCTCAATGCTACATGTGTTTAAATACAAAAAAAAAAAAAAAAACTAAGGACCAAGGATAGCAAGGGTCTTTGAAACATATAGGTAGATGGAAAGGTTTGATTGCTTTGTATCCTTGCAGAAGAATTCTGTTCCTTTTTGAAAGGATATTATTCTGTCTCTTCCTCACCTGCTCTCTCATTCCTAAGTTAGTTACTTCCTAAATAATATACTAAATCCTTACATAAACTCTGTAAGGTAGAAACTGTTTTGTCCTTGTGGACAAAATATATATATATATATATATATATATATATATATAATTTTATTATATTTTTAGTTAAAGTTTACACAGTAATTTAGGTTCTCATTCAACAATTTCTACACACATTGTTCAGTGACATTGATTATGTTTTTGTCAGTATGTAAACATTCACATTATTTCCATTCTGGTTGTTCTGTTCATTGTCCCTAGTTTATAAATAAAAAATTGGAGATAAAAAGCTTGCTCAAGGGCAGGGCCAGGATTCAAAATCAGATAGCCTGGCTCAAAAATCTATATTCTCACTCTACACTACCACAAAATTAAACCAAACCAAACTCACTGCCGTTGAGTTGGATCCAACTCATAGCAACCCCTCCTTAGGTTTCTGATGCGGTATCACTACGGATGTAGATTGCCCAACCTTCCTTCTGAGGAGTGGCTTGTGGGTTTGAACCGCCAGCCTTCTGGTTAGCAGACAAATGCCTTAGGCACTATGCCACCAGAGCTCCTACACTAACTACCACATAAGGCTGCCAAAAGAAGCAACCTGGTTGTTTCCCAGGCAGAAGTGTCCCAACAAGGCTGAGGGCAATACTCTTACCTGGTCAGGGTGTTGAGCCTTCATGTGGATAATGTTGTATTATCAGGTCACTCTGATTGTTCAAGTCCTTAAATACTCTATTCCAGGGTAGCCCTATACTTTACTCTTTAGTTTCCTTCTGAGGTTATTTCCCAAACCTGCTTGGTAATAAGAATCATCTGGAATATTTGTTAAAAATACAGCTTATCAGGATCCTCTTCTTGGCAGTTCTGATTCATTGGGTCTGATATAGTCCTGGATTTTTGTGTTTTTAACAAATGACCCAGGTGGTTTTTCTCATTATCAATAAGTTTGCTCTAGGAGTTTTAGTCACTAAGAACAAAAATTATTGTTGACCTTAAGTATTACATATTATATATTAACATGTATCTATATCTGTTGTTGTTGTTGTTGTTATGTGCCGTCGAGTCAAACCCGACTCATAGCGACCCCTCCTTGGGTTTCCGAGGCAGTATCACTACGGAAG